ATTCTGCTTGTCTGTAGACAGTCAATTCATCTAAATGGTACCAAAGATATTCCATATTTCCAAATTTCTCAAGGTCAAGGCTCATTCTAACCTATTTCATTTATGTGCCTATATTTAATCAATGTTTTAGTGCCTCGACTCTTCCCGAGCCAGTCTGAAGCTGACGATTTCCGAGGCACAACAACGGCCTAATTCCAAATTGGCTGATCTTTCTATCATCCAGGATGACTATGTAGGCCAAATGAATTCAGAAGATGCCGCCGCAATATTGCGACTGCAAAATGTGACCCAGTCTCAACGATTCAAGAGATCTTTAGACTATTCTTGGAATTTGGACTTTGAAGAGGGATTGGGTGGATACACCGAAGCACGAGAGTACTATTGCAGAGAGCCCGACTCAATTGACATACTTTACTTTATGCAGAAATGGTATGAGGAGGAACCGGAAGACAGGATAAACTTTGGAGAAGAGGCTATTTCTCAGCAGTATGGAAGTGACGTAAATGTCAATGAACTTGACGACCGTCAAAATCTCAGACGAAGGTCAGTAGAAAAAGATTTACCAAACTTCTACGCCAAAAGAGGCTACACAGCAATGCCGTCTACTTCAGGGTCCAGTCAGCAAGAACGACACACACATCATTACCTACTGATTAGCTGCAAAAACTGCCAAACTAACGAAACATTTGTGTCAAGTGATAAAGTGAGCCTATCATTTCATTAAACGTATGCAAATTATTCTTCATTTAGTGCTCAATTTAAAGTGAGTATATATAGTCAGATTATTGAGTCTGATTGGGAGGGGCTAAAACTGGATAACTCTACTCATATTTGCATTAGTAGCGTGTTCAGCATGCATGAAAAAAAAACATTTTCTGCTTTGTCTATAAAAATTGAATGTATAGGACAAAGAACTTTGACGTCTGATGCTATGTTTGCTTATAGCATTTCGGATTAAGTGATAGAATTCTTCTACACCTTTGCGATCATTTTTTTAGCTTGTTATGAAGCGAATTTTTTCAAATCCTTTAGGTTACTCTGCAACTGAACCTGAAGAAACGCTCACAAAGAAGTCGTAGGGAAATATATGAAATG